GGTTTGGGTGGTTGCCTGTGGTATCAGCACAGCGGGCGGGTGAAAAGAACTTCCGGTTTCACCGAGTTCTAGCACAAAAACAAGAAAGAACGCTTGACGCGATTTTTCCCGCCACCCACAAACCCTGGTGTGACGTGGCGCCATCTTAGCATGGAGTATCGGCCACTGCGCAACAAGACGCCCTAAACCCTAAACCCTAAACCCTATAAACCCTGACGCTTCTTCATACGCCCCCGAGTCGCAGAGAGCTCCTTGACCTTCTTGTACCACTCATCCAAGGCATCCGACTTCTGGGGCGCCGTCCGCGATCTTTTAGCAGCCTTGCGAGTTGGCAGCTTCCTAAGCTGCGCAGGAAAGCCCTGAATTTAGTGAAAAAAACATGCTGCAAGCCCCCAAGCTATCCTAGAAGAGCCCGAAGACCTTTTACGACCAGGATTGCTATTCTTGTTCTTCTTTCTAGAACCTCGTATTCTTCCCGTTCTTCTTCATCGTTTCCCTAGCATTACTTAACTATTGTTGATACTATTATGAATAATGTTACCATTACTATTCTGGTTATCGTTATGGATTACTACTACAGCTAAGCTTCGACTTGCTCGGCTTCACCTCTGCTGCGGCTCGTCTTGGCAGCTTGTGGGCGTTGGACAGAAACCAAGACCCCAAGGTGTTGCCCAGCAGCACGACCATCAGAATATAGGGCAGCTCACCGAAACGGTTGAAGTTTATCAGCACCCCTGCACCGACTTCTGAAAGGGATGCTGCTTGAATCCCTGCTTCAAGCTTCCGCAACACCCGGTCTAAAACCCTAAAAAAACTGCCCAAAATCACGATCCAGTTGCGGGCCACGGAGTAGGCGCCAAAGGTGCTGGTAAAGGCCAGTGTGAGTCCCCAGGTCTCTTTGCGCATGGCCCTCTGCGCACGCCTCACGGCCTCGCAGGCCGGCGTCGCGCGCCTGGCTTTGGGTCCAAGTTGCGGGTGCAGGGTCTCGGGCTTTGGGGTTTAGGGCTTAGGATTGAAGACCCTCGAACAAAGCAAATCTACAACATGAGCCGATGTGTGCTAGTGCTATGCCATAAAACGGCCTGGAAACTCGGGAAACCCTTGAGGTATTGCCACTACCATTGGTCTGCTTCCTTGGACCAATTCTGAGGCATGAAGGGTTAGAGCCATTGCAGAGGGTTTGCTTGCTATTGCTGTTATTGTTCAGTACCGTCACCGCATGACTACGGCATTGGCACGTCCACATGCTCGTCTTCCTCTTGACATTGGCCCCCCAAGCGACAGTCTTCTGTATGCATGTGCAATGTTCTTCACCTGTTGGAAGGGCACCCTTACTATTACTATTACTAAGCAGCACTGGGGAACCTAAACCCTAAACCCTAAACTGTATACCCTAAACCCTAAACCCTAAGCCCTAAAGCTGACGATGAGTGCCGAGTCGCTCTCCCAGGCCTGTGGCCTCTGCTTCTGCCTCTTTCAGGTGCCTCAACACCTGCACATAGGCCACCAGAATCCTTGGCTTGCATAGAGAACCACTCAAGAGGATGCAAAGGACAACCTAGGGCGGGTCGAACGATATTATAGTGTGTTTCCGGGCGGGCAATGGCAACAGCAGAAACTCGCAGCAATGGTAAGACAATTTATTAACTAGTGGCAATGGCCAAACCCCAAGCCCTAAAGCCTATTTTCCCCCTGGCGAAGGTAACCGCAGAGATGTCGAATCCAAGAGAACCAAACACTGTAATCCCAAGCTATCCTAGAAGAGCCCGAAAACCTGTTGCTATTACTGTTACTATTTCTGCGAGTACGATGATGATATAAGTACAGCGTGCGAACATCTGCTGTCCATATCCTTCAAATTTGAAACCGACACCTAAATACAACAGAAAATAGCATCAAGCGAGAAACTGCATTTGCTGTCATGGCTTGTGGACACTCTCCCCCGTGCGTCTGAACATGTGCCGTTTCCCCCGTGCTTCTAATTTCAGTACAGCCTTCGCAAAGATCTACCAACAGCGGGCAAAGCTCAAGATGCTAAATTCTAACTCACTCTGTGTTCCTGCGGACAAGGGCCAAAGATTTGTCCCACACGGGGGTTTCTGAAAATAGGGGACCCTAATATAGTGCCCCAAATAGTAGGATCCTTATTATAAGGACCCCAAAACAAGGTATCCCTTATTGCCGGAAACTCCCCTATCGTCCCAAAAATACCAATGTGCCCCTTTCTGGGCATTCCCAGCTCATACTTACAATCCCTTGCTGAGTATTCCCATCGGCCCGGCAGCGTCGTTTGCCAGGTTAGCCGAGAGGCCGCGCACAAAGCCAAACAAAGCCGCAGAAGATCGCGTCCTCTGTCGGACACTTCGCTTTTGTTGCTGTAGCTTGCGGTAATACTAGTAGTCATCTTCTGCCCTAAACCCTAAACCCTAAACCCTAAACCCTAAACCCTAAACCTCAGGAGTAGATAGAGTCGTCGAGTCGTAGTCGAAGTACACTTCGAAGTGGAGCCTCGTAGACTCTCTTTAGGGTTTAGGGTTTAGGGTTTAGGGTTTAGGGTTTTCCGGCTTTCTGAGATTTCCTTGGGGGGTTGAGTCCACCTTCTAGTGTATCAGTGTCTCTACTCACAGGCGCATCCATGTTCGAACCAAAACATCCAGTTCTATTGCACCCGGTTACCTATAGCACAGTCCATGTCCAGATTCAGAGGCTCACCAGAACAACCATTCCCAAACCATAACAGCACCCATTTCTCAGCGCATCTGTTCACCAAGGCATCCGTGCGCAAGCCATACTCACTTCCATCCCAAGTGCGAGCATTCATTCTCAAACATACCCCAAAGAACAGTGTCAATTCCCGAGTGCATTACTTGAGAAAGCTATACTCTGCTGAACCCGCCGCTGTATCAAAGGTCATGCTTCGAAGGACTAGCGCACAACCCAGCGACCCTCTTGCGCACCTGAACAAGATCCGCGATGTACGGTGGTCTGAAAGTTAGACGCAGCTTGGTGCAATTCACACCACGGAACGAAACGCAGAAGCCTTTATACTTAAACTTACACGCACACAAAGAACACTGTGACATGATGGATTCCGCACGAACACGAACAGGCAAACGACACGGCAAGATATGTGCCGTTGACATGGCTGGTTAAATACCAGTTTTTGGCAGTCATGACGGCATTTCTGCTGCCTTTGCTGCTTGCTCTGGTGTTGCCAGTGCTGCTGGCGCTGGCGCTGCTCATTTACTAGCGTTGTTGGCGTTGTTGCTGATGTCGTGGTAGCAGCAAACACGCAGTGATTGATGCTGCCAGGTTTTCCGGATTGATTGAGAAGGTTCTGCACACAGCAACCTTATCAAGCAACAGTCCTGCAAAAAGTCGACACCTCGGCTCATAGGTGCAGGCAGAGGCAGTGTGAACGCCACAGCCATGCCCACAACCTCGCTGGCTTGTAGCAAAGGCAAGCAGCACGGGAAACACAGACTCCCGAAACCGAAAACCTCAAGAAACGCAACCTGCATCTTCGGAAAAGCCATGTCCACTGAGCACATGCCAGCGTGGCCTGGCCCAGAATGTACACAAGGCCGACTGCCCAAAACACCTCGAGTTGACAAACACAAGTGCAACAAGGATTCCAGCTCAACTAGGACTAGGCCACGCAGACCGAGCCCCATTCGCAACGCAGGTGGAAAGGCTGAAAATTTCTGTAAGAGGGTCCCCGTCATTCATGCCTCAGGCGAGTTGGACTTATTCGTATGTCATGAGAACCCCTTCTCTTCATCCAAATCTTCTCGGCCATTTGGGATCCAGGCAGTAACGGAAGCAAGCTCTCAGGCCAGCTAAGAGCATTTGGACACCAGAAACAAGAGTCCCGCTTCTAGGACAAGAGCTGACGCTTGCGGCCTTCCTTCAGCTAGAAAAACCTGTTAAATTACGAACTGTCCTACTGCCCGCTGCGAAGCTGGAGAAGGCGAGCACGTCAGAAACCCGGAGCCCAATTCAATACGCCCATCTTGCTGTAGGCGCAAATTTGCGCCTTTCTTCTTGGTAGCTAAATCACGTGGATCGTTACCTGTCTTCTGCTTTGTACTGCTTCGGCTCGTCCCAGAACTGTCTCATACCCAGGAACTAATGTTTCTTTCGGCCTCTGACTTCGGGTTGGCTTTCATGTGCAGCTGCTCGCTTGTCTCATGCAGAAATGACAACTCTGCTCATTTCAAGCTTCTTCACAATTCCAGCATTCCCCGCTTGGAAACTCTACGTAACAAAGGAAGGGAGGAATCCCAACGATTACGCGTTTACATCGTCGTGGCAGCGGGCTCAAAGCAGCAGCCGAAGTAACAGCCGCCATGGGACCCTCCTCAAGTTGGGAATGAACTCGTACTCGGCAGAGCTCTGCAATGAGTCCAGGCGTTGCACCTGGAACGCTGCCGTCTTCTGAAAAGGCTCGCACGAAGTTGAGGTTTCGCTTTTCTGGTCTGCATAGGCTAAACCCTAAACCCCTAAAC